CTTCAATGAAGTGGCGCAAGTTGATCCTCGTTTGAATAACTCATGGATGTCTTGGTTAGGAAATGAGACATATAACAATGGGGGAGAATTTGAGGTTGGTCAGCAGTTTGACTCATTGCAACAACTGAAAGATGCTGTGAAATCTTACTCCATAGCTAGAAATCAAACAATTCGAGTTGTGGAGGCAGAGCCAGAGAAATATGTTGTTGAGTGCAAGAGGAAAGAACAATGTAGTTGTTCGTGGAGGCTTAGAGGAGTGAAAGATCCAACACTCTCTACGTTTAAAATTGTGAGGTACAACGGCCCTCATGAAAGTAACTGTGTTGGTGACATCGACTCGGGAGATCATAAGCTACTGACTTCCGAGTTCGTTTGCAATGCTCTTCTAGATGTCATTCGCGTTGATCCTTCATTGAAAATCAAGACAATGGTGCAACTTGTGAAAGAGAAATTTGATGTCAAATTTCTCTTTCACAAGTTGCACCATTGTCTTGATTTTCAATGAAGGATCAACGCGAATGACATCTAGAAGAGCATTGCAAACGAACTCGGAAGTCAGTAGCTTATGATCTCCCGAGTCGATGTCACCAACACAGTTACTTTCATGAGGGCCGTTGTACCTCACAATTTTAAACGTAGAGAGTGTTGGATCTTTCACTCCTCTAAGCCTCCACGAACAACTACATTGTTCTTTCCTCTTGCACTCAACAACATATTTCTCTGGCTCTGCCTCCACAACTCGAATTGTTTGATTTCTAGCTATGGAGTAAGATTTCACAGCATCTTTCAGTTGTTGCAATGAGTCAAACTGCTGACCAACCTCAAATTCTCCCCCATTGTTATATGTCTCATTTCCTAACCAAGACATCCATGAGTTATTCAAACGAGGATCAACTTGCGCCACTTCATTGAAGTCTGAAGTGGGGGCGCTTCCTTTAATTGCCTTATCACGAGCTTCAATTACCTCTTCATCATCATCTTCATCAGTGTCATTCATCTCTGCATCGCCAAATACATCAACATTGTTTGGGTCAAGAGAATCAAGAATGCCTTGTGGTTGTGTGCTTGTCGAGGTTCCAACATTAGGCGATGAGGCCGGAGACCTAAACTGTGAGAGATGGTCACTGACATAATGTGGATCAACAAGCATTCTTGTGAATGACCCTATGCCCACACTTTGAACACCAGTGGAAAACGGTTGATCCACACTACCAAAAAAATCCATCCCCGGAAAGGAACCAGTGTTAGTTTGCACAACTGGCTCCTTTGGAACTTGTTCAATGAACAATTGCATTGCAACAGAAGAACTCTGAGTCACAGCAATCCACATAGCTCTAACAGCGTTGTCGGCATTTAACGGAATTGCAACATATGCCCCAGCCATAGGATAACGCATAACCACCTTCAACTCCACACCTCTAGGATCAACACTCAATTCTTCATATAGCTTGTTCAGAACTTGTGAATATGTCATCGCAGAATGTACAAACACAAATTTTTGATTCCCACCCCTATACGTTATATCGCTATCTTTGTGGACAATTTCTCCACCCCAATAGCAATATAGAGGGTAGTTCGGAACCTCCATGTTTCATTCTAGAAAAGACCATTATTAATCAAAGATATTAGATTGCAAAAATTCATTAACAGTGTGGCAATGTCCTAACATCAAGCAAGCAAACTACACAATTATAGCAACCTAAACTGAGCTATGAAGGTCTTAATACCTCTTGAAGCTCAACATGGGCATAAGTCATGACTACATGTACTTTGAGCTCATGTACTTTGTGTATAGAAGCTCTATTTTCACTTTCAAAATCAGCAATTATAGCAACCTAAACTGAGTAATGTGATCGAAACCATTAATAATTCTACAAGGGTTATATGTAAGGTAAGTAAATCAACAACAACAACCAAAACCAACCACAAACATACATACAATTCTGAAACTCAATAACAACAACAATAAACAAGAACACTAACAACAACAACACAACCAAAACCGAAACTCAATAACAACGACAATAAACAAGAACACTAACAACAACAACACAACCAAAACCAACAACAACAACACATACATACAATTCTGAAACTCAATAACAACAACAAACTCAATAACAACAACAAACCCAATAACTGAATACAAAAAATAATTAGGGCACTTACCACAAACAAGAAGATCAGCACGTTTCTTCTGAAATTAGCGAAGCCGACCACTAAAGTCGAACCCTCGGCGTCAACAGCGGCGGCCTTCGTTGCTGAGGAATGCTCCGGCGGCGTCGGTGGATTCCTTGGCTGCGCCGGCTTCCGTTGAAGGAGGTGTGATTTTGGTGGAAGGCGTGGATGGGATTTTGGTGAGAAGACGAAAATGAAAGAGGAAAGTGAAATCGGGAAATTATACCTGCTAGAAAACCGCTACTTGAAGTAGCGGTTTATTAAACAAAAACCGCTACTTGAAGTAGCGGTTTATTAAAAAGAAACCGCTACTTGAAGTAGCGGTTTATTAGTAAAAACCGCTACTTCAGGTAGCGGTTTTGCTGTAGACCGGATTTAAAATTTCTTCCCCCTGAACCGGTGACGTGGACGGTACTTTGGGAATTCTTAAAACTTTGGCTGCAATTTGGGAATTGCGGTTCTTCTTGACCTTAATTTGGGAAAGAGCTCGTTTATTAGTTTAGGTCAATTTAATTTTTTTTTCCTTCAACAAATGACAAGGATCTATTTAGTTATCATTTCTTTAAATTTAATTTTTTTTACGTTGTTTATCTCTATTTTTCATATTGAACTTCAGAACCCTCATTCTGGATATAGATTTGTAGTTCTTGCAACGTCCCTTGCTTATACATTGTTTGCAAATAAAATTTGATATTATTTTAGTAACAAACACATTTATTTTGTAACAAACCACATATTTTTAGTAACTATTTGTGTCTCATACAATGTCTGCAAAGTTTTATATTATTTTAGTACCAAACTAACAAGCCACATGTTTTAGTACCTATTGTTTAGTATAATCAAGAAGGGAAGAACCCATTATTCATGCTATTTATTTATATTAAAAAAACATACAAACATATCACATTGTACAAATTATAGTGTTTAAACTTATTAGTGTAAAAAATAAATTGTAATTAGAAATTGTATTTCTTACCAAAGTTGCAACTTATGTTTACATCTTATTTGATTATTCATAAGGAAAAATTAACAAGAATAATCCAAACTATTGACTTTCATCCCATTTTAATCTCAACTAAGTTTTAAATCAAAATAATCCTAACTATTAGAGGTCCTTCTCAAATTAGTCCCTCTTACCTGCTACCTTGATATTAGTTGAAGTTTTTTTTTTGAGAAATAATTTAATTAATTTATTTATTTATAATCACCCATTATTCACATATAGCGCCACTTCCATAGCCACAACCACCATTATCCACTATATCTCTCTTCCTTCAAACCACCATAGACCCACCACCTCCTCACTGCCACACCGCCACCACGGAACCACCTCCGTCTTCACGGCCACACCACCACCGGTCATCAACCCACCTCCTCTCCCCTCCCAATTGTGGCACCCCCACTAATATTATCTAATTAATTTGTTCGGATTTGACATTTTTTTTTAATTTTAGAAATATTCACCACAGAAGAAAAATAATCCACCTTCAATCGGCTCAATCCACTAATTAATTGGACATGTTTCGTTACTACACATTTCCTCCACCACCTGACCCCACATACATCCCATTCGCACCCCGTTCCGCGGTGATTGGTCGGTGTGGTTTTTACAGGGCCGAAAAAGGTTGATGGTCATAAGGTCATTGACTCATTGTTGTTGGTGGTGATGGTGGTTGATGGCTGGGGTGGCAGAAAAGGGTGGTTTCGGTGGGTGGGCTTGGCTGGAAAGATACTTTTGGTTGTTTTAATGGATGGAGTTTGCTGGGTAGGTGAGGATGGTGGTGGGAGTTTGGGGTTGAAAGCAAATGTTTTTTTTTTTATTTTTTTTATTTTTTATTTATAAAGAAAATAATAATGTAAATAATCTAATCAATAATATGTTGACATGTTGCTCATTTAACCTGATTAATAGGTTAACAAAAGTCTGAAACTAATTTGAGAAGGGACCCCTCATAATTTGGATTATTTTGATTTAAATCATAGTTGGGATTAAAATGAGAAGGAGGTCAATAGTTTGGATTATTTTTGTTAATTTTTTCTATTCGTAATCATGTTACTAGAAATATGGTTTATATATTTACTCAAAACTACAACACATACATGGTTACGTTAATTGAAAGTAATTGTATTTCTTACCTAAGTTCCTAATTTTATAGCATAGCTTATCTTTAAACTTTTTTTTTTTTTGAATGGAATAAGGAGGTGGTGATTTCATTAAATAATAATAGTCATTCGACACTTACTATTATCCCTTTACTACTACAAAAAGCGTGTTTTTAGACGCTTTTTAGGTCTTTTTTCGACGATAAAAAGCGTCGAAAAAAAATTTCTCGACGCTGCTAAAAAGCGTCGAGAATCCGTGAGTCGAGAATTTTGAGGGACATAGAAAAGCATCGAGAATTTCGACGCTTTTTTGTGTCTAAACTAATATACGAAGTGTCATAAAATACTAATTTCGCGCATTTTCCCAACTTTGTGTAGTTTTTAGCGACGCTTTTACATGTCCACATACTCAAATTTAGCGACGCTTTTTGTTGTCTTGCGTTTATTTGTGTCAGCCTATGGTATGGAGGGAAACTTTTGAAATGTGAAAATATGCAAAATATGTAGACATTAAAAAGCGTCTAGAAATTTTTTTAAGCTTTTTTTTTCCTTTTATTAAATTATTACCATCATACATACATTATAGTTATTTAAATTTATCATAAATTAAATTAATAACATTAAAATTAGAGTAAACAAATATTCTATATAACTAGATCAGATTACAAAAAAAAAACAAAAAAAAACAATAATTATTCAACAATAATAAGAGTACATAGTTAATTAAATTACCAAATTTATAAACGAAAACATCAACACAATTAATTTTTTTTTAAAAAGAGGTCGCATATTATAGTAGCTTGTCCCTAAATAAATACATCGCTAATATAACTAAGACTAAAAACCAAAATAGATAGATGATGGCGTTATAGACGATGTAGTCGCTTGTTTTGATGCTCAAGTGTTCCGGCCTATTCTCTTGTTGCACCTACATTGTCTTTTCCAATCTTAAAAAAAAAAATACAAAATATAAATTAGTACATTACACAATATAAGCTTATTCACACACACATACACACACAAGCTTATAATTCCATCTTTCCATTACTAGCAACCACCACATACGAAGATAAATCAGCAATCGAATGAGGAGCACAACCAAATACCAGGGTACCACCAACGGGCTATCCATGATTATCCACTACAATGCCCGCATTATCAATTAGTAGAAGCACCTTCTTATCTTTTGACAACAATTTGAGACAAGGAATAGTGGCCGTGTTAGGTAGAACAACATGAATTGTAAAAACCAGAATTACCAGATGGGTTTTTGTATCTAGTTGATCTGTAATCAAATACCAGAATTGCCAAATACCAGTGTACCACCAACTCAGCAATTAATCTGCATGGATCTGCAATTGTTATAGCCTGTGAAAATATCAAATCAACATTCCCTGTAATACAGGACATCAAACTATAAGCATTATCAGTCCCTAAAATCAATCATTAAGCCAAGCCATACTCTTCACACCATCAATACACGACATTTCCTTCAAAACACGAACAACCCATGTTTCCCATCCGACCTCTCGATCATGCTTACTACTGCCTGAATTCAGCTTAATGAACACCACTTTCTTCTCCATTGGCACCACAAAAAGGTAGGCACCATCATTATCCACTCCCATAGAACTGAATACCTTAACCCTCGCCCCATTCGATCTAACCCCGCCACCTAACTTTTTCATAAGCCTCCCACCTACACTACTACTAACTCCCTGTTCATTAATCCAATTAGAATTTCCAGATTTAGTACTACAAACCCTTCTAGCAACAACATTAACACCCTTCAGAATCCCTAACTTTTTCACAGGCTGTAACAATTGTAGATCAATTGGATACAAAAACCCATCAGATAGAACCAAAATTCTACCAATTTGATTAAAAACATGAATTGAATTAATACCATAATGGCTGATACTAACATATCAAATATAATTTGTGTGCATTCAGATGCATTTGAAGCATAATAATCCTATAAGATTATTAACAACTTAAAATAGCCATTTCATTCACCAATTGTAAATAAGCTTTAAGCATACAAGAACTCAAGAGTGAACTTGATTGCATGAAAGACCAAACACACATTGAAATCAGATTAGTCTGCTAAGCAACAACTTAAGTATAAATGTATCAAATCTGATTTTCAGATCTGAAATTCAGTTCTGAACTTCAGATCTGAAATTTAGCTCTGAATTCAGTTCTGAAATTTAGATCTGAATTCAGTTCTTAAATTCAGCTCTAATTCAGTTCTTAAATTCAGCTCTGAATTCAGGTCCACAATAATGTTTTCAACCATAGAGCAAAGCAAGCAAATGTGAGATTACCTGATGCTTTGCCTTTTCTAAGAACTCAGATGCTTTGTTTAAAAGATTCGGAGATGCATTCCCTTGACGAACTGCACCTACAATCTGAGAAAATTTTCCAACAAGCGCTTTAAGAAGAAGATTGTTGTGTCCGACCCGGTCTTTCAGCTTTTCATTTTCTTGGGATAGTGTATCATTTTTTTATGCAAAGCATTCACTTCTTCTTTAACACTATCCATCACAATATTCCTCTTTTGAACTTTTCCATACCCTTCCTTCCTTAACACACCACGTACTCCGAAAATGTCCCCCTTTTTAACCCCTAATTCGTAACCCACAGGACGATCGGGAATCTCATTACCATACATAGTTTGCTGAAATGCTTCATCTTCGAGCTCTTGTTCAGACATCTTAGGATGCATCATCCTCAGCTCTTCAACCTTAGCTTTATCATCATCATATACCAACATTTAGGAGTACTGTAAGACCACAAATAACACAAAATCACACCGCAAAATCTACACAAAATGATACCAGAAATATGTCACAAAACCATACCACAAAATCTTCAGTGACTATGTCAGAAAGAAATCTTTCGTCTTTACCCGTATGGGTTTTAATCCACAGCGCTAACAAGCTCATTTTTTGTCCATGTTCATATCCCTATAAATAATAAGGCAAAACAAGCATTAAATATGTGTACAATAGTATATAACGCATATAACCTAGCTTTGCTCTTACTAACATCCTAAGTAAATATAAAATGACATATATATTCCATACATAATCAGCTTGTTGGTTTGCAAAACTTTTAGAGCCAGATGTATGAATCTGATTTTGAGAAGCTCGTGCCTTTTTACTGCATGCTGACATAGTCTGCAATCACATTTTCAGATTTTTTAGTTAGAGATTAATTACAGCTTAATAGAGTAAACAATAAGGTAAATATTGTCCTTACTTTCCCGTAATGCGAATCCCAATATTTTACCAACTTAACCAAGTTACTACTAGTAATTCCATGTGGCACATTATTACAAATATCATCCAATTTCTTCTCCAATGGCTTGTAATAAATCAGTTTCAGAGATTATTTGAACTGCCTCCAACATTTATTGGCACGCTTCAAAGCTTGGTTGTCATATTCCGCACCAGGAGGAATCACAAAACGGTCCTTAAGTAAAAATAATTAGTTAAAAATATAAATAAGTAATCAATTAGAAGTAAGAGATCGGCTAAGTATGTGTGTTTAGGCAATGCCAGGGGATGTCTTAGGGATGAATATACTTACTCTTATGTCTTTAATTATTTTCCCTTTAAAATGCTTGTCGATTGCATGCCAATCTTTTTCCCCAACTGGACAATGTGACTCCATCTTCGCAATCATACTAATGAATTTAACCAAAATATGTCCACCCTTCCTAATTGGCTGGCATAAATCATTGAATTCGACATAGTACTGGACGCCGTTATTACTCCATACGTCAATTGGCAGAATAATACCACTTACTAATGTAGTATTACCCTTGGCATCTAAATAAAATAACAAAATTAAGTTAAAAGAAATAATCAGTTTAAGTGGATTAGCAAGCAAATTAAGTGGCAAGCAACAAGTAATATTATCAGTTATACCTCAAACCAAATAGAAAAAGACTATTGAACATTCTGGAAATTTCAGAGCTAGTAATTTGTAAGGCAACCCTTCCAAACATCTTAAAATTTCATACTGCTCTAATTCTACCAGATGGAATTTGGCTGAAATTTTTAACAGAAGTAGTACAGGATCTATGTAGCATTTACCTGATTTTTATACCGTAAATAAGCATGTGTTATTAGTGTTGTTTGTCAAGGAATAATGAGTATTTTAGAATGTAATACATAGAAAAGAATACAAGGATGATGATTCTCAATTAGCATGTATGGTAAACTGAGCTCCTGCCATTGTTTAAATATCAATTATGTAAGCCTTTTATTTGCATAATTTCTGCTTTTATTCCTTATGTTATGAATCAATGAAGCAATGTATGCATTGATGCATTTTTTGTCTCTCTCAAAATACAACTACCTCTGATCTGTTACTTGAAATTTATATTCAAACAAAACCTATGTTATTGTTATCATTTTGGTAGGACTTTTTTTTTCTTGAACTAGCATAATGTGTTCGGTTCCAACTGGTTATGCTAGATATATTGATTCAGAAAAAAACCTCCCCAATCCTCCGGACCAACAAAAGACAGCATGAAATTAGCACTAGCCGTTTAAAGGTAAACACTTATTGCAAGCATAAGTTCAACATAAGTTATGAAGACAGTCAAGCCAAAATCCAATAAGTGCATAAGTTTAACATATTTCTGACTGCTCTTACTCTCATTTACATAACACAATTGCATACATGTTACTGTGGTTTTTAAAAAAATCTACAGATTCTACACCATACCCTTGCCTTTACAACAGTCTCCACAGGACTATAACCCTTTTTATTTATAGTGCCTAGCTATTGGTGACATAAATTATCCATTTGCTTTGTGCTTTCAAGTAAGCTTAATACATTTACATTGGTATTTTGATAAACAGATGTTCAAGATAGTTGGAAAGTCATTGAAATTGTTGTATAAACAATAATTGAATTATCATATTTCATTACATCATGATTTCATTGTTCATGTTTTAGCTTTGACAACTATCCTGGATTGATATAACGCTCTCTGCTGGGCTTTTTTTTTTAATATATACCATTTGCTTTTACTTAAAAGGAAAGAAAGTAATGTGAAGTTTATTTGTTTATGATGGGGGGAGTACATGCCATTTGTTGTTTGCTAAGACTCTAAGAGTGCTGAATACATCTCTACAATTGCATTTTGTTTTCTTCTGTTGAGAATCTGGCATGAATGAAACACATTTGAGCTACATTGTATCTACCCGTTCTTTTGTATTCTAATTTACAATATTTCATTGACTAAACAGTAAGATCTCTTCCTTATTGAGGATCTGGGGCTTTTGTATATACCATGGAATATGCCTAGATGCTTTGAATTGTTTCATAAAACCTTTGTTAACCTCCCCCCAACAACAACAAGTAGCAGCAAACTTTAATAGAAAATTATACCAGAAATCAGTCAATGTGTATTTGTAATTATGTAACTGTTATGCACTTGCAAAGCTAATGTGTATTTGTATGTACTCATCTACTCTACCAAAGCTATTCACAAACACCCCCACAATAACAAGCAGCAGCAACAGGGCAGAAACACACCACAACAACAACAAGCAGCAGCAGACAACTTTAATAAAATATTTACCTATGGTTAGAACCTCCTCCTTGTCGTCAAAATCTATGTCTGCAGGCCAATTTGGAAGTGCTTTTGGTCGTAAAGACTTAGATTGTTTCGGGATCTTTTCTGATTCTTTTCCACTGTTTTGTCGTTCTTGATTATTTTGTGGAGCTGTTGCTGAAGTTTTAACAGCACCAATCTCAAGGTTCTGAATTCCTCGTCTCACAACATGCTCGAGAGGTTTATGAGAGGTAGAAAGGGAGTTCGATGATGAGTCTGGTCTAATTGATTGTGGAATGTTAGGGGGGATATTAGGTGAGACTTTTGATGAAACTTTTGCTGGATATTTTTTCTGATAACCTGATGTAGTTGCTTCTTTGACTGAACTCGATGTTGAACCAGGAGGGTTTTTCCAAATGGATCCTAAACTATTAGGTGGTTGTTGGTCAGATTTTATAGTGGTAATGGGTGGAGAAAAAGGTCCCCATTTGTCATCTTTAAGTACCTCAGTCTGTGGTGACTTAATAGCTTGTTTATTGGTGGGTTGTGAAACAACTTCAGTAGCAGATGACTCACGTGCAATATTTGTAATTGGTGACTGTGCTAACAGTGGATCATGCGACTTAGCTGTGGCAGCAAGTATTTCCCTTGCTCTCTTGCTTCGATAAGTCATCTTTTACCTGATAAAACCATAAGATAAGCTACATTAGTCTGTCAAAACTGATATAAACACAAGACAATATATGTACATCTAAACTATACATCTGTGAATACACACACATCAGTTAACCAAAGAAATTGCATGCCAAGTTAGAAAACAGCAGATTCACACAAAACTATGCATAATGTATGCTGGTTGTAAATTTAGGGCATTAGAGACAGCTGTTCTGAAAACTTGAAACGGAGTTGGTAATTCAGGTTTAAAACAATCCATAAAGCACAAAAGAAGCAATCATCTTCAGCCAAAAGTTCCAAGTAGTCACTGCAATCAAGTTTTCTAGCACTTCTAGGCTTCTAGTACACACCATAATCCATATGTTTAATATAAAGCACCAGAAAGTATAAATAAAATGCATGAAGACAGGTAATCACATCAAGAAAGATTAACAAAAGAAAAAGAAAAACAAGAAGCAAAAGAATTTTGATACCCTTGAATTTGGTAAAATATTGAAAGAAAAAGAAAAAGAAAAAGAAAAACAAGAAGCAGAAGAAAATTAGGTAAACACATCTACAAAATAACCCAACACTGTAGCCCATGAAAATTAGGTAAACATACCTAGGCTTAGTTTTCACAACATGACACCACCCTTTTTGTATCTCATCCTCAATATAAAAAACTTGTACTTTTGCTTGAGATGAGAAAACAAATGGATCATCACGCAAAAATCGACCAGTGTGCATCAACTTTGAGAAATTGATACGAACACTTCCATTCGGATTTGTTTTGATACCCCTACGGATATCGACCCAATCACAACGAAACAATACAACCTTATAAGAACCATAATAATCTAATTCCAAAATTTCTTTGAGTTTTCCATAATATTCGTAACCCTCTGCTTCCACCATGATTCCTGAATTCTGAGTTACTTGAAATCGCTCACGATCCACAATATCAAATTTGTAACCATTGATAATAACACTTTTCATCCTTTTCCCGCGGTTACTCAAGCCACCGGCTAAGGCTTTTCTTAACTTTCCATCTATCGTGCTATCATCTAAATTATGGACCTATAATTTGAGAATAATAAAGTTAGAATTAGAAAGTTGTATAATATGAAAATAAAAAGACCCTAAATGTAAAAGCATATGACCTGGATTTGCAACCAATCTGCAAATTCATCAATTATCCACTGATTTTCAATAGATTCATCAGCTTGACTTCCTCCAACATCATTCTCTTACCTCTTTAGTTTTAGGAACTCACTATCGAGATTGTAAATTTTATGTTAGTAACAAGTATATATTGGACGCTTTAACCAAACACATAATGCTACTTACTTGAGCACCGGGGTTAGTTCATCAGAATGAAGTAAAACATACCGATGAGCTTGCTTTAAACTTCTATCATCCAAACGGACATTTTCTTTCTTTCCAACAACACGACCACCAGAGTTATACAAATAGTTGTTAATGTTTGATACCCCGTCCTCATTCCTTCTAGATCTATTGGACATAGTCTCAACACTTTCTAAATATCTCGAACAAAATGCAATTGTCTCCCACAAAAGGTAACCTTCCGCTATAGATCCTTCCGGTTGCGCTTTATTGCTTACATGAGATTTCAAAAAGGCCAAGTACCTTGAATTACAGTAACGATTTTGTATGTGAATGTGAAAGAATAGGAAAAATTATTATATAAAAATTAAATAATACAAATAATAATAATAGTAATAATAATAATAATAATAATAATAATAATAATAATAGTAGTAGTAGTAGTAATAATAATAATAAGCACCTTTCAACAGGATACATCCATCTATAATGAACCGGTCTGCCTAGTCTGACCTCTTCCACTAAAAGAATTAGTAGATTAACCATGATTGTAAAAAATGTTGCTAAAAATTCTTTTTCAAACTTGCAAAGAGTCAACACGAGCTTTGATTGAATGGTATCTAATTCTCTTGTATCTATAGAAGTTGAACATATCTTTTTAAAAAAGTCAGACAACTCCTCAAGCAAGTCAATAACTCTTGTGGCATTCGACGCCCTTAAAGCAACCGGGGGGATATCTTGCATGAGAATATGATGGTCGTGACTTTTCATATTAATAAGTTTCCGTTGATTTAGATTCACACATCTTTGCAAATTAGATCCATATCCATCAGGAACTTTCATCTTTTTTAAGACTTTCAAAAATCGTTCTTTCTCCTCGTTAGACATGGTGTATGCATCCGACGGGATGTAACCTTGAGGGTTGATCCATAGATGAGGTTTTATATTCAAATTCTTTAGGGCTTCTCTGCCACTCTCATCATCCCTACTATTATCCATATCTAAAAGAGTTCCTAATAATATATCGGACACATTCTTTTCAATGTGCATAACATCTAAATTTTGTCTAAGAGGATTATGCTCCCAATACTCTAATTCAAAAAATGTACTTTTCTTTTTCCAAAGAACATCATCACCATCGGGATCGCAATCATTATCAAGTTTATTGGCATCTTTTTTCCCTCTTTTTTTAGGAACTTTTTTTGTCTTCCCATATACATACTTTACCCCTTCTTGTTGCTTCAAAACTTCGGTCCTGCTGGTACTAATCGGAGCAATACCATATTCTTCTTTCCCATCAAACAAATTAGCTTGTGAACGATATGGGTGTTCAATAGGCAACCATTTTTGATACCCAGGGTAGATAATTTTGCCACCAAATCTATCTGAATAAGTAGAATGAGTGCAAGAAGGACAAGCTTTGTAGCCTTTCGTACTCCAACCTGACAGCATAGCATAAGCCGGAAAGTCATTAATAGTAAAGTGTAGGGCTGCTCGCAGTTTGAAGTTGCTTCCACTATAAGAATCAAAAGCTCAACACCTTCCCACAATAATTTCAATTCATGGATTAGTGGTTGCAAGTACACATCAATATCCATACCGGGACCAAATTTACCAAGAATAATTATAGAAAGAATAAAGGATGATGGTTTCATGCAAAGCCATGGTGGTAAATTATAAGGAATGAGGACCACCGGCCATGTACTATAATTTGTGTTCATAAGATGATATGGATTAAAACCATCACTTGCTAGGCCTAATCTAACACTGCGAGGATCAGCGGCAAACTCTGTATATTTTTCATCAAATTTTTTCCAGGCCTCGTCATCAGCAGGGTGTCGTAGAATCTTATCATCCTTACGATTAAAGTGTCATATCATGTCCTCTGCAGTTTTAGATGACATGTAAAGCCTATTTAATCTAGGGATAAGGGAAAGTACCGCATTACTTTAGCTGCCTCGCCTTTCTTACATGCTTCTTTTCCTTTTTCATTTACATCACCCTGCTTTCCTTTCACATTTTTCCACCTTGATGTCTGGCATATATGACACTCACTTTTATTTTCAAATTCGCCACAATATAACATGCAATCATTTGGACATTGTAGGCGTCGCTCGAAGTGCGCCTACGTAAAAGCATGTGTGAATATGCTTGGCACTCATAGGAAGTGGGAATTGACATATACGATTAGGGACAAGGAAAGTAGGGAGCCGCCAACAAGTTTTTAAGGAACTTGTAAACCGTTCACGGATCATAAAAGGCAACCACGATAAAGGGACAACGATAGGCAACAACGATTGACCCGTGAAGGTTACACCCCATTCATAATCCATGAGATTACTAACTCCATATGGTTCGGAACCACGAAAGGAGGATCGGGGATGATGGTACGAAGTGATTCTTGGAGTCACATTCGCCCGTATTGGCCTCTACTCGATTCTTATAGTGAAAAGTGATTCCTGCGATCTCAAAGGCATACAAACAAAATATTCAATTTGCTCCAACTATTATTAGGCTAAATTGGTTGAATATTAATGCAACACATTATTCTAAAATATTGTGACCACTTGATTTAATAACAAGATTAAAAAGGATCCTAAACCGGTTGTCCAAATTATCTTATTACGCGTGATTTTCAATTACATATTCCATTTAAACATGCAATATGGTGATCATAATAACAATAGAATAAACATTAATATTGGAAGCAATTTAGCCATAATTCCAACAATATAAAATCATTAGAAAAATAATAGAAATAAAAGGAACATAATTCTTACTTTGATTCTGTTTGTTTGCAACTACAAAATAATAAACGAGTTAGTAACTTCAAGGAAATAATAATAAAACAACAATCAAATCAAATTAAATAAAGTAGAGTTGATTTGGGGTCAAACTCTCAAACAGTTCTACCTTTCACGCCTTGGCTTAAGGAAAGAACCACGAGTAAAGTATGGACTCCTTGGAGTACTTGAAGAAGGAATTTTGAAATAAAAAGGGTAGGCTAGTGTTTAGGCTAAAGCATAGAAGAGAGAAAAATAATCTAGAGAATTAATTGATGCCCCGTACATCAGAAATGAGGGGGTATTTATAGAGAAAATGTGCTGAGGGAGCACACGAAACCCTAAAATGATAAAAACCCTAAAAAAGTATCCCGCGACACGACAAACTGTACCGTGACACGGGAAATCCCACCGTCAGACGGTAAACATTCCCGTGATACGATGCATTTTTAGCGTGACGCGGGAAATTTTTAGTAAACGGGGAAGAAAACGCGTTAAGGGTTTACGCGGAAAAGACACGGAAATTCCTGTGTCACGGGAAATCCCACCGTCAGACGGGAATGATTCTTGTGACACGGTGGGTACCTGCCGTGGCGCGGGAATTCCCAACCCGCTTTTCCGTCTAAATACATTTTTAACCCTAATTTCGTTCAGCATTTTTAAGTGTCGATTGATAATTTCGAGCCTTTTTTCTGATTTATTATTATTTGGGCTAAAATAAGAAAATATTAAATAAAATAAATAAAAGGTTTAGGCCAAAAATAAATAATAAAACAATAAATAAAAAAAAGTTTGGGCTAAAATTAAATAATAATCTGGGCTGAAATTAAAACTATGTTTTTACCAAACATCAAGACTAATTCATGGACTGTTCAAAAATATGAATTTAATCAAATACGATTTTTTAAGCACTCTCGGGATTAAATACTGAACCCGACTAATATTGGCGGTGAAAGGTTGTTCATCGTCGGGTTTGGTTTTGGGGAGACATTTTTAGGTGTCTACAGACATGCATGGATTTTCTCATATCCTAACCCTAATCATTTATTATCTTCATGCCTTCATAATAGGACGATGGAAACTCCTTAATTATGGGAAATGCGTCAATTAGAAGTTCAAGTAATTTATTAAATGACTCTGCAGACCAATGGAACATACACTTTAGGTGAAACAAATGCAATAGAAATGAAAGTTTCGAAAAAGTAGTACACCCCTCATACAGGCCTTTTTTAGAAGCTTCCATGAGATTTTTATACTTTGCTTGTTCTTCATTTGAGAAAGTTGATTGATACTCATCATCTACCTCGCGATAAATGGTAAGCCCCTCATCCATGACATATGAATTGTCATCTTCAATACTTTGTTCATTAAATGATGGATCTTAAGTTTTGTCGATTTGTCGTGTATTAACTCTAAAAGCTGCTCTTAGTAATCCGTCCATATCATCTCGACCTACTGCATTTACTTGATCATCACTTAGATCATAGGTCTTACTCCCTTCATATTTACAATGAAATACCCAATTTTTATAGTTTTTATAAAAACCATAAAATAAAATATGGCCTCTAACTTCTTCTACAAAATTCGTTTTATTTAACTTGCACTTATTACATGGGCATTTAGTTTCCCATGTATTTGGTAAAAGAGTCTCATTAGCAAGTTTCAAGAAGTTCATGCAACCTTTAAAATAACCAGGATACCTCTTGATAAATCAATCCAACTAGTATCCATGTCTACAAAGAAGTATATAATTAATTGCTAATTAAAAACAATGACATTAAAAAAAATAATAAAAAATCATGTTACAAGGATCCTTAAACCAATATATAATAGGGACATCACTTTCACTAAGTAAATAGACATCCATCAAACTTATAATATCAAGAAGTTTATCCACTTAAAAATAATGTAAGTAATTCAAGCCTACAAACTTGTTGAGGGGTGAAAGAAGAAAATTAGAAAGAAACATGAAACAACAAATAAAAAGTTATACAAAATTAGAAGATAGTTTACATGAAACATCCAATTAGGGAAATCTAATCAAGCCTACACAATTGAAATAAGTATATGACATACACTAATCAAGCCAACAATCTTCAAAACAAGAAAGTCATATCAAAACATAGTCGAAAAATCCCAAACTAAAACCCTAGAAAACGCCATAAAAAACTTAAAAAAAAAACAACAACAACAACAACAAGGAAATCTGAAATTTCAAGGCCCTCGCATTTCGTGCTAAATTGGATCAGCTGACGGTCCTTGAGGTTAACTAGCTCCCGTACGGAGTTGATCCTGCACGACACGTGCCACCCACTGTATTTATTGGCTGCATCCAGTACCGTAGCATCATTGAGCCATACATGCTTGATCGAGTGGTTCGACAACTTGGATTCGTCCAGGACATTCCAAGGACCATTATCTGAGAAGGCCAAGAGACCGACGAACTTGAAGATGTATCAAGTAGACTTTCTGACCGAGATGACATCTGTGATGTGGACTCGGTTTGTCCCTGGTTCGTCTTTCAGTGTTGTTTTAGGTTCCCTCACCAGACTTGGTGGTCGAGCTTCTACGATCGCTCCTGGTTACATGCAGTACCTCTTTTGAGTAGCCTGAAAGTCCTACAAGCTGAGAGTCACGCACTTTTCGGTACAGCTCTGCAGGAACTATTGGTTTCTGGGCAAATGAAATTGCTGGATTAGAATGTTAGATCATACATACAGGCTCCTCATGATAATCCACCCCACATATAAAGACTCAAACTTCTTGGTCCAAAATAAGAGCTAAAATATGGGCAATGAAAGAGAACTAGGCCAGGGGAGGCAGTACCGCAGTAGTGAGCGATTTATAACAGTGTCACAAATTTCATGCATTATCATTTATCAAGCTCTAAATTATACTCTGTAAATGTATTTCAACTTAAATTGATCTTCACACCTTCTAATTATCACAACCTTCATTATCAACTCAACCTAATTCTTCAGCAATATACATATCATCTTAACCAACAAAAAAACTTATACATTCTTAACAATAAGACTTGATTCATCAGATCTTGTTTTACATTTGTTTTTCAGATTTCTCTGCATATCGCATTGTGTTTCTAAACCTGGGTACGTTATTGCTTACACTGGCTTCCACATTCAGTGAGTCTTTGATATTTTACTATAGCAGTGCTATGGCTGTTGGGATCATCTTGTGGTACTACTTGTTCTTTTCCAGGTAATTATTGATTTTCTTGTATGTAACCTATAGTTTGTAAAACTTCTTTCTGATTTCCGGTGTGTGTTTTACAGAAAGTTCTTGTGGCATATTAAAAAAATAGATATTGGTTCCAATAAATTCAATACAAGACTATAATAAAAGTAAATAAAGTTTAAAAGACATAAAATGGGATTTTAAGGAACTAGAACACCATAGCCAGCTTAAAAGGCAGACATAAAGCACATAATCTCATGTTCGGTCTAAGACTCTAAGACAAAGAAAATATTGCCACTGATGATCTCTTGTGTGAAGCAAATAAAAACAACCCCAAATAAAGATATGATGCAAATCCAAATTTCTTACAAGCTGTACTCTTCAAAATACATCGGCCGTGAGTATTGGGGTTGTTATCTAATGATTTATAAGGGAATGAGTATTGCTTCTAAGAGCAAAGCATGTGAAGACAAAATGCAATCATCAGCCACCAAATTACCATAGAAAATTCATATAAAAAACACATAAAATTCAAAAACAAGAAAATTCATATCAAAAACCCATAAAATTCATATCAAAACCCCATAAAATTCAAAGCCTATAAAATTCATATCAAAAACCAGAAAATTCAAAGCCCGTAAAATTCATATCAAAAACCCATAAAATTCCAAACTAAAACCAACGCCATAAAAATCATAACAAAAACCAAAAAACTACTTTTAAAAAAAATGAAAACCTTGGACTTGAAAACAGAATTCACGAAAAAAAAAAACAATATAAAAATAAATTAAAATATCTAATTAAGGGCAAAAAATTACCTCGCAATAAGAGATCGATTCTTGTTCTACACCAACTCAAAATTAAAGACTTGCAAAGAATAATTCCCAATTTTAACGAAATTTAGAGAATTGTGAGATATTAGGTACCAAAAATGATAGATATATACCGAGCAACAATATTGTATAGCAAATTGTAAGTTGATACCTGAAATTTATGAAAGTGACGATCCAAAAACCCCCAAATACCTTGAAGTTTAGCAAGCAAAACCCAAAAATTAACCAAAGAGGAATGATGTTTTTTTTTGTCGCTGATGTTGGAGTCCAGGTTTAGAGGAGATCGAGCAGAATAGTGGATGGGCAGTTTAATTGGGAATTTGGGGGATTTGGGAGCCTGATTCGAGTGAGGGTGAAAATACAACCCGCTAAGTTTTTCATTAATTAAAAATTTCAAAATTGTGGGCATCCATACTCACGTGCATAGCACGTGATTTTTCCGACACTTTTAAGTTTCGAGTCAATCTTCGACTAGAAAAAGCGTCGAGAAAAGACGGTACCAAAATACATATGGGGACGCCACACCAACAGCGTCGAACCAAAAGCGTCCAAAAAGTACGCTTTTTGTAGTAGTTAAGAGATCTAAATTCTCAATACAAGAATTAAACACCCCTAAACTAATGGCATCGCTTCTGAACTGCTCCTGGATAATTTAGATGTCTTTGCATCGTTTTTAACGGAGCTCCATTGATGTATAGTCGCAAAAGTGATAAAACTTGATTGGTCATCATGATTTGCAAATTTGCTAGACGAATCTTCTAAATCTGCACCCCTATACCAGACTTGCAATTCCATAAATTTGCAAGACAAATCTTCCAAATTTGTATCCTTGCACACACTAAAAACAAACAAACAAACAATACTAAACCTTATATGAAGGGACTGACTAAACCCTACATGGAGGGGCTGACTATAATCATCATACTGATGGTGATCTTTATTGACTAAAGACATTAAAATAAAGAAGAAATTGGGGCTTACCATCGATAAAAATCAACGGTAGCCCTTAAATTTTAATATGGTATCTAGGTTTGAAGAGATAGAGAACAAAGAAAATTTTAGATTTTTTTTTATGTTTAAACTTATTTGATTATTCATAGTGTTGTTACTAAAAAATGGTTTATATCTTTTTTAAAACCAATAACATATACACGGCTACAAATTAAGATACTAAATAAATGAACCAAATTGGAAAAGGGAAAAATTTATTTAATAATGTGGGAATATATGTCCTTCTGATAGACATAAAGTTGCAATTTTTATTATGCACCAATAATGTGGGTATATATTTGATCATACTATATATCTAGTATTGAGAAATGATTATTACGTACATGTGATCTTGTTCGATTATTTTTCTTTTTTTAATGTGAAAGTGGTTTGCTAATTAGGGTTTGTTCCGATTTACTAAAAATAACTAAACTAAACTAAACTGATTAGGGCTGAACATAAATGAACTTGAACTGAAAAGAGATCAAAAGAATTGTTTATGAAAGAAGGAAATTAGGAATTGAACTTATTAGAGATGAACTAAATAAAACTGAACTGGGCTGATTAGAATTGAACTGAAATTAAGCTGAACAAAATAGGCTATTACTTGACTCAATTCACTTATTCAACTTCATATCTTATCTCTACTTTTTAGAAAGTATGATAAAAACACTTATGAAGTGTGATAACATTTATATCCTCAAAATTTTAGTTCACCTATAAGCCCCTCTTCATATGATGTTAATTGCATCTCAACTTTTCCCTTGTGTGATTTAATGATTAAACTCTTATTAATAGAGTATAACCTCTAACATGTTTATTTACGTATTTGCCGTTAATTGCATCTCTCTTTTTTTTTAGAACTATTAAGAACAGTGCGGACATTTATACCCCTAAAAAATCAGTTTAGATATTTTTCCCTCATCAATGTTTTCAACAATTGGAAGCTCTCTGAACATGGCTAGCTAATTACATGTAAACGGTTACTAATTAATACACTAATAAAATGAACAAAGATGAATAATAATAATAATAATAATAATAATAATAATAATATAAGGACTATATATAAGATATGTTGTATATCAACATAAGGACTATATACAAATGAAGACTTTTTAGTTAAATCTTTTATATAGAATGAAATACAAGCCAACGATTATCTTTTATAATGAACTCATCATATTGTGATGCTAGTAAGGATTTGAATAGAAATAATACATTTATTATAATTTTATACTCGGTAACATAGAAAGTTCCTTTGACAAGTAAACACTTTTTAAGAGTTGAAGATGATCGTCCAACAAAATTTACAGTGTTTATTTCATTATTTTGCTCATGTATGACATCTTACATTAAATAATTATTTCAATTGAAAAACTTATCATTGCTAAATAATCCATATTGTTTACAACTAATTTCATGAATAAGCATCACCCGTTACTAGAAAAACAAGTTATATATTCTACATTTTTCCTCTAACATATACGAAGTATATGGTTACTAATTAATGTACTAACATATTGAACAAATTAAGAAAAATAATTATTTACTTGATTACCTTTACTTTTTCACCATTTGCATTAATGTTGTCTTTCTCACATTATCTAATTCTCAAAAGACTTGATAGGTGGGCCTTTAATTTTTTCCTCAAAACATGAATTTATTTTAAACAAATACGTACAATTATACAAGGTCAACGCTGCTCTAATACTTTATAAATTCCTTTTTTGTAACCTTTGGAACTTATAAGTAACAAAAAAAAAAAAAAAAAAATTACACAAGATCACTGTAAAGGTAACAATAAAAAAAATAAAATAAAAGGGAGAAACATCGCTTTTATATAATCACGTATGTAACACCCCTAAATTACTCTCTAATATTTAACAATAACAATCCAACTTTAGGGAGTAACATGGGAGTATTACTGCCACGTGATTACGTAAGGCTTAACAAAGTTTTGCAGCGGAAAACAGTACTTATCTTTCATTAATAATAATAGTAATAGTAATAGTCTGATACACTTTCAAAGTAGCTACACCACTAAAACTATGTTTACTAAATTAAACTAGGTGATCACTACCCATCATTCCCAATGCAGCATATAATTCACGTTGTCCGATCACCATCACCTATCTACTTATCAAAATTATAAGTAGGGCCAAGCCAAAACAAAACAAATACGTATTAGCCAAAATGCTAAGTACATACAAATGCTAGATATGTAAATCGGTTTAAATAATTAAACATGCTTTCGAAGAGATTTAACTTTAATAAATCATAATTTATCCAAACCATTAATGAATAGAAATTCATGTATAAAATCTTGTCAAAAGAACCAATTTCTTAAATAACCAACTTTTCAAAGATAATTCCGGATAGGGTAGATCAATCCATATTTTCATAAATCATTTTCACATCTAAGTGTGCACACCCCCCAAGCTAGTAACTCCTTTACATAGTGCTATCAAGGGGAAAGACTAGGTCATACAAAGTCCATAGTCTTCAACTTACTCCGCATAGTGGGAGTTAAAAATCCAAGGAGTAAATCCTGTTAAATAAACTTTCCAATATCCCATACTCGGGATAATTTAAACAATAAAACTTCCTTTTTTAAACATCTTGAGTATTACTACAAGTTTATAATCAACCATATGGAATATTTAAACATTTGAGATCAAACACTTAAAACATTTTTTACCGAAATATATTTCACAATCATTTAAACATGGTTCGAAATCACTTAACATGTAAATCATGTTGTATATAAAAGTCACTTTTTATAAGATTTAGCCACGTGTACGTACCTTGGTCCTTGCACACAAGTACGGAACTCCTAATTTCGAACCCGAAATTCCTCCTATAACAAATAGTTCTAATCAAATATTTTTCAACTCATAGACACGAGGACTATAATACCGACTTCAATAGTTGTACATGAACATTTGATTAATTTAACCCGTTTATAATTTAATAGTTATTTTTATAAATCAATCTTAGGGGTGGCAAACGGATCAGGTCGGGTCGGGTTCGTGTTCGGGTCACCTAGTTTTGAGTCAGGTGACCCCCAACCCGAACCTGATCCATTTAAGTTTTCGGGTTGAAAATCCCAACCCGAACCTGATATTTTCAGGTTCGGGTCAACCCGAAAATGACCTAATTCGACTTGTTTTTTTTTTCTGTTCGAATTTTTTTAACATATTATACACAACATTCCTTGAATTCTTCTGGATCTATCAATCATAAAACCCAGAAAAATATTCAAACAAAAAACCCAGAAAACAATACAAACAAATCGCAAATAAAAACAAAAAAAACCAGAAAAAATATGTAAAAAATCAGAATAACTAGATTGATGAAGAATAGGCGATTATCAGGAACAAAATGTATATACTTACATTATAATTTCATCAAAAAAAATTATAATCAGAAATTTGAGAAAAATAAAACTAGATCTACAATCTAACCTAAATTTAAACTAGATCTAAAGTATAAAAAACCCCAACAATAGACGGTGACAGTGATGGTGGTCGGTCGGGCTTGCTGTGACAGTGACGGTGGCTAGCTTACTCACGTGACATTGTTGACTTGCTCGCGTGAAGAGAGAGAAATAGGAGATTTTAAGGATTATTCGAATATAAAGAACAAAATTCACAAAAATCAGAGAAGAGAAGTTCAAATTCGGATTTTCTGGATGAATTGAAGCATTCTAGAGGAAGATAGAGAAGGAGAAGAGAACGAATGAGAATAGATAAGGAGAAGAGAATGGATGAAGAGGGATATAGAAGGAGGAGAATGAGTGAAGAGAGATAAGGAGAAGAAGGAAAGAGAAAATGTAGGTGACGGCTTGTGAGAGTGAAAATGAGTTAGGGTTTATGCTTAAAGATTTGGGCTTGGGTTGGTAGTAGTCTTCTTTTTTTTTTTCTTTTTTTTTTTTTTTTTTTTTAAATTTTCGGGTTGAAATTTTCAACCTTAACCTAACCCATTTAATTTCGGGTCGGGTTCGTGTCAACCCATTTAAGTTTTCGGGTCAAAAATCTCAACCCAAACCCGCTATTTTCATGTCGGGTTCGGGTCGGGTTTTCGGGTCGGGTCAGTTTTTGCCACCCCTAATCAATCTTTAATAATCTATCAAGGTAATAATGATAATAATTAATTGTAGTGGTTAGTATTTAGTAGTAGTAGTAGTAGTAGATAACTAGATATCACAAGTAGTAGTAGTAGTATTAGTATTGGTAGTAGTAGTAGTAGTAGTAGTAGAAGTAGTAGATAACTAGATATCACAAGTAGTAGTAACCAATAGTATTGCAATACTAATAGTTCAAAATCCAAATGAAAGTCTTACTCGATCTTAGTTAATTTATCAAGGAACAAACAAAGGCCAACTTGGTTTCTTGATTGATGTAGGAGTACGGAAGGCATAACAAGGGAGGAAGGAGGAGGTGGTGTGTGCAGTAGCCTGCAAGGCGGGTGGGGGTGGTGGTACGGCACGACTCGGGTGGACGAATAGGTGGGGAAAGAATTTGGAGGTTCTTTACTGATTTTGGATAAAATTAGCATAAAACTTGTACTATTTATAAGCAATTTGGATTGGAAATTCTGGTTGAAATTCATTCTTAGTGAATGATTATGATGAGGCCACATATGGTAGGAGGAGGATTGAGGTAACTGTAATGGTGTTTCACCTTATTTTTGACACTTGGAGGAAGGAATGTGGTAAAAGGCTGTTAATAATGGAGGGGAGGTTTAAATGGTGAAGTTGTGGAGGAGGAGCTTCCATGAAGGTGCTATGGTGAATGAAAGAAATGATACTTACGTATCATAAGGAGAAAGATTAGAAGGTAGATTGAAGAAGTATGCTAGGTTGACATATGCTTTTGTGTAGTACGTTTTTTGTAATACTAGTACACTAAAAATATGAATTAGACTTGAGTATATTAAAAATTAATTTGATACTTTGTCGTTTGAATCGGGTACAAGGTATAAGCGGTTGAAAATCTGATTTTGATATGACAAATTTTAACTTGACTCGTATAATTAAAACCTTTATAAAGTATAATTTATAAAATTATCTTCGTAAAAAAAATATTTTTGTATAATAATAAAATATTTCGAAAAAATCCATAGTTAATAATAAGTGAGTGGCTTAAAAAAATACGGGGTATTACAGTCTACCCCCCTTAAAAGAAGTTTCGTCCTCGAAACTTGAGTGAAAATTGGTTAAATAATCCAAGTTAGTATAAATTGACTCATGCACAACTTATAATGACTCTATGACTCAGGCACAACACATAACAACTCAAATTGACTCAAAACTAACCAAAAAGGGAAAAAGCACGAAACTCTATCGCATTCTACCCCCGTTAAAAGGAGTTACTCCCCCGTAACTCGACTACTGACCTTAGAAAACAACTCTGGATATCTTTTCCTCATATCTGCTTCGGCTTCCCAAGTATCTTCCTCGGTTTTATGGTTTGACCATAAAACCTTAACTATCTTAACATCCTTGTTCCTAGTGCTTCTCACTTTACTATTCAAAATCTTCACAGGTCTTTCCTCATAAGTCAAGTTCTCGTCCATCCCGATGGTTTCAGGCTGTAAAACACGGGAAACATCTGGTATGTATTTCCGAATTTGGCTCACATGGAACACATTGTGAACTCTTTCTAGCTCATTAGGCAAATCCAACTTGTATGCCACTTTTCCCACCTTTTGGATGATCTCGTACGGTCCAATGTACTTCGGGCTTAACTTTCCTCTTTTCTCGAACCTCATCACTCCCTTCATCGGAGATATTTTCATAAAACTTTCTCACCTACTTCGTATTCCTCATCCCTCTTCTTCAAATCTGCATAACTCTTTTGACGATCTTGTGCGGATTTAATTTTCTCTTGAATCATCTTTACTTGTTTCACCGTCTCTTCGATCATCTCTGGCCCGAGTGTAACTGTCTCACTTATGTCATTCCAACATATCGGGCTTCTACACTTTCGCCCATATAAAGCCTCGAATGGCGCCATCCCAATGCTTTCATGATAACTATTGTTGTAGGAAAACTCTATTAAGTCCAAATGATCTTGCCACGAACCTTGGTACTCCATAACATATGATCTCAGCATATCCTCCAAAGTTTGTATTATTCTCTCTGTTTGACCATCGGTTGTTGGGTGCAATGCAGTGCTCATCAACAACTTAGTCCCCATAGCCTTTTGTAAACTCTTCCAGAAGTTGGATAAGAACCTTGAGTGTCTATCCGAGATGATGTCCTTCGGTACACCATGGTATTTCACCACAAATTTCACATACGCTCTTCCTAATTGATCCATCGACCATGTACTCCTCATGGGTATAAACGTTGCACACTTTGTTAGTCGATCCACTATGACCCAAATCGTATCATTTCCTGCTCGAGTCTTTGGAAAAGCTCCTACAAAATCCATAGAGATCGAATCCCACTTCCTACTAGGCACCTCCAAGGATTGAACTGTTCCTTGGGGTCTCTTGTGCTCGATCTTGACCTTTTGACAAGCAAACATCTAGCCACAAATTCCGCCACTTCCCTTTTCATATTCGGCCACCAGAATGTCTTTTTCATGTCCTTATACAACTTATCCCCTCCGGGATGCATTGAATAAGGAGAGCTATGAGCTTCCTCCATGAACCTTTGCTTCAAATCACCTCGATTATGTGGAACATACCATCTCCCTTTAACCTCATGCTTCCATCATCGTCTATTGCAAAGTCCAATCACTACGTGAAAAAACGAATTTGGCACCGGTTCAAACCCGGCCTAAGGCACCGGTGCCAATCTGGGGGGTGCCAAAAACCCAATTTTTAGCACCGGTGCCATAGGGTCAAATAGGCACCGGTTAACCAGTGCCATAACTTCTCTTTTTTTTTGGGAATTAAAGTCAATTGGCACCGGTTAACCGGTGCCAATTCATGTATTTTTTTTTTAATTTTTTTTAGTTTGCTTTATCCACATACACACATAATATTTTATCCACTTAAATGAAATGAATATTGATCAAAATTGATCATTAAATAAGAAATATAATCAGAAACATATAACAAGCTTGAATACGAAATATATTGATGATTAAATTGTTATTTTACAATACAAAAAAATTAAATAAATTACAACATCAAAATCCAGAAAAAAAAAAAATTATAACATTGAAGAAAAAAAAATTACACATCGAAGAAAAAAAAAATTACAACATTGAAATCAAAATTCCAAAAGCAACACCTTGATTCTTCACCTGCATCAATTAAAACACAGACATTAATAAACTCACTATAAACTAAAATTACGAAAATTAAGATTCAAACCCAGAAAAAATTGAAATTCAGACCCAGAAAAAAAAAATTAAGATTCAAACCTAGAAAAAAAATTAAGATTCAAACCCAGCAAAAAAATTGAAATCGCAAAAAAATTAAATCGAAAAATACCCAGAAATAAAAAAAATACCCAGAAATGGAAATAAATTGAAATCGAAAAAAATTTGAAATCGAAAAAACCCAGATAAAAAATAAAATTAAAAAACCTAGATATCGAAAAACAAAAAAACAAAATATATTAAAATCGAATAAACAAAAACAAAAATCGAAAAAAAATTCAAAATCAAACATAAGAAAAAAAATATTACAAAAATCGAAAAATAAAATATCAAAATCGAAAACAAAATATATTAAAATCGAATAAACAAAAATCGAAAAAAAAAAAATCAAAATTGAAAACGGAAAAAAAAATAACACAGAAATCGAAAAACAAAAAATCAAAATCGAAAACAAAATGTATTACAATCAAAATCGAAAACAAAATGTATTAAAATCAAAATCGAAAAAAATAAATCAAAATCAAACCGGTTCGTGGTGTTGCATGTGCTCGTGGTGTTCTCCGTGGTGATGTTCGTGGTGGTCTCCGTGGTGGTCTTCGTGGTTGGCTTGAAGGAGAAGGAGAAGTAGACGTGGTAGCGAAAGGGAAGGAGGAGGAGATGAGAAAGACTGGTGATGAGCGAAAGAGGAGGAGAGAGAAAGAGAAGGAGATCAGAGAAGAGGAGGGAGAAGCGGCGAAATGAGTGTTAGGGTTTGGGGGGGTTTATATATGAGAGGGTTTTTTTTTATTATAATAATGTTAAACCGTTTTTTTTTTATTAAGGAGTGGTTCAATTGGCACCGGTTCAAACCGGTGCCCTTTTAGTTTTTGGCACCGGTTTGGTCTGAACCGGTGCCTTTTATATTTGTGTAAAATGGCGCCCAAATTTGGGCTGGTTCAGGGCACCGGTTTGGCCTGAACCGGTGCCTTTATGGGGGTGCCTTATTGTATTTTTCTACTAGTGAATATTTTCCTTCCTCGATCTTTTCTTTAATCTTGTTGAACTTCTCGTCCCCAAGTTGACTTTCTCGAATCTCATCATAAATCGACGGTTTACTCAACAGGGCAGCCAAAATTTTCTTTTCCTCTCCTTGTTCCAATACCTCCAAATTCATCTTTTGGAACTCCACACATAATTGATATGGTAGGATCATCGCATTAATTGCATGACTTGACTTCCTACTCAATGCATCAGCTACAACATTGGTTTTCCCTTCATGATACTGAATCTCCAAGTCGTAATCCTTAATCAACTCCAACCATCGCCGTTGTCTCATGTTCAACTCCTTTTGAGTGAATATGTACTTCAAACTCTTGTGATCGGTGAAAATCCTACATGTCACACCGTACAAATAGTGTCTCCAAATCTTCAATGCAAATACAATTGTGGCCAACTCCAATTCATGGGTCGGATAATTCACCTCATAAGGCTTCAACTGTCTCGAGGCATAAGCAATCACCTTTTGACTTTGCATCAACACACAACCTAACCCAAACTTTGACGCATCACTATACACCTCATATTGCTCATCACTTCCATCAGGCAGGGCTAACACAGGTGCCGTAGTCAACTTTTCTTTTAATGTCTGAAAAGCCTTCTCACACTCCGGAGTCCACTCGTACTTACATTCTTTACTCATTAAGCTCATCATAGGCCTTGCAATTTTGAGAAATCCTTAACAAATCTCCTATAGTAACCTGCTAACCCAAGAAAACTCCGAACATCTGACACACTCCTTGGGGTCGGCCATTCACTTACAGCCTTTACCTTTGCTGGGTCCACCGATACTCCTTCCTTAGAAATCACATGATCTAGGAAAGCTACCTCCTCCAGCCAAAACTCACACTTTGTGAGTTTGGCATATAATTGATGTTCCCTTAAGGTTGACAATACCGCCCTCGAATGATCCTCATGCTCATCTCGATCCTTCGAATACACCAAAATATCATCGATAAACACTATAACAAACTTAAATAAGTATGGCCTAAAAATTCGGTGCATTAAATCCATAAAAACAGCAGGTGCATTTGTTAACCCAAATGGCATTACAGTGAATTCATAATGACCATAACGAGTCCTAAAAGCACTTTTTGCAATGTCGACTCTACTATCCTCAACTGGTGATACCCTGATCTCAAATCGATCTTCGAAAATATTCCCGCCCCTTTCAACTGGTCGAACAAATCATCAATCCTAGGCAACAGGTACTTGTTCTTGACCGTCACGTTGTTCAACTCTCGGTAATCTATACATAGCCTTAAGCTTCCATCCTTCTTATTTACGAGCAACACCAGTGCACCCTATGGTGATGAACTCGGTCGAATGTATCCTTTCTCCAAGAAGTCGTCTAACTGAGTCTTCAACTCTTTCATCTCAGTCGAGGCCATCCTATATGGATCCTTTGAAATAGGTCCTGTCCCGGGCACTAAGTCTATAGTAAACTCAACATCCCTCACAGGTGGCATCCCTGGAATTTCTTCGGGGAAAACGTCAAGAAATTCATTTACTACTGGAATATTTTTCCCATCATCTCTACCTCCTTCTTCTATCCTTTGGACACTCTACAAATACAATGGATGTCCCTTTGCTACACACTTCTTAAGTTGCAAAGCGGATACGATCTTTAACCCTGATTTCTTCCCTTCCCTTCGATAAGTTACTCTACCCTTGCCCGGGCCACATAACGTGACCTTTTAAGCCTTGCAATCAATTTGGGCCTTATACTTGCCTAACCAGTCCATCCCTAAAATAACATCGAGGTCTTGTAAGTCAAGCTCGATAAAGTCTGATGGAAACTCTACATTTGAAATGACAAGAGGTACACCCTGACGCATCTTAGTGAAACTCACCACTTCCCCTAATGAGATAGCAATATCTAAGGAAACAGACACCGGACTCTCTAACTTGAGTCTATCTACTAAACTTCTAGAAATAAAAGAGTGAGACGCCCCTGAATCAAACAAGACTTTAATAGACATAGAACAAATAAAGAAATTTCCAATTACCACATCAGAAGCAGTTGCAGCCTCACAGATGTTCAACACGAACACACGACCCTTGGGAGCGGCTCCACTATTTTTGGGTGTCGGCTTAGGAATGAATCCACTGGGCTAAGCTGGCTTGGGTTGGTTCTTCTCATCTTTTGGTTTACCCGACTTCTCATCAGAGGCCTTCTTGTAACACTCATACTCACGGTGACCTAGCTTTTGACAGTAGCGGAAAGTCACTAGGTTTCCATCATAATCCCTTCTTGGATGGTTTTTCGCACATCTTTTGCAAAAATAGGTTCTCTTGGGTTTGTCTCCATTCCCTCGGTTCCCATTTCCTCTTTCAAAACTACCCCTGTTGTCCCTTTTCCCATTGAAATTCCCACTCGGGTTCCCTTCAACCTTGGGTTTCTTCTCACTCCCATTGAAAATCCCACTAGGCTTCCTCTTTTCCCCAGAAAAGTTTCCCTCTAGCTCTCTCCCCTTGATCCCATAAAGGTGCACTGCTCTCCCATAAACCTCATCTAAAGTTTCAAAGGTCACTCCTCCTAGTTTTCCTTGAAGGGTCAAAGTCAAATCTTGCTCAAACCTCTATGCCTTAAGTGCTTCAGTTTGTACTACCTCCGGTGCAAATCTCATCAACTCAATAAACTTGCTATAATACTCATTAATCGTCATGTTCCCCATCCTAAGGTTCGTAAACTCCATGCACTTCTGTTTCCTCAAATAGGAAGGGTAAAACTTCTCTCTTAAAGCTTCCTTAAATTCAGCCTACTCAAAATTAGGAATACTCAACAAGTCATTCCTACTTTGACTCCACCACAAATCGGCTTCCTCTCTAAGGTAATAAACAACATTATTGACTTTTAATTCCTTTAGACAATTAATAGCATAAAAAAGTTTATTAAATTCTCTCACCCAATTTTCTAAGCTTGTTGGGTCGACTTTGCCAAGGTAAGTGGGTGGTATGGCCGCAACTACTCTTTTAAAAACTTCCCCAAAAGCATCAAGGTCATTATGGGCTTTTCCCTGGTTTGAGACAATACCAGCTATGTTTTCGGTTATTTTGGTTAGCCTTTTGATGACAGAGCTGACTTTGGAACTACTCCCTTTCTTAATTCGTTGCCTTAGAGACATGAATTTGAATAATGTGGTAATTAGACACATGAATTTACAAACAAATTGTTCATCTATCCAACAAAGACTCAATCAGCAATGTGATAACTTTACTGTTCACAAAATATCTTGAGTACGTACTTAACGTTCATCAAATTAACTAGGAAGTTTAAATTGCCATTTTAGAGGTAACTCTATGTAATCATCTCAAAATAAATCATCACAAGATTTATCATAATTTGCATAAAATTATAACATACAAATCAACAAACACTTCACCATATAAGTCATCACATAAGAGTGCAATTCAACTTCCAATCCATTTCCAATTTTGGAATAAATGTCGAATAATAATTCGTGAACCTTCACTAATATACCGTGGAATATGAAAATTCCCAAAAGACTACCAATCTTAATGCAATTCAAAATTTAATTCGAATCTTTATATTCTAAGACATAGTTTGGTCGTTTGCTTAGTCCATATGCACATAATTCACGTAAAGTTCGAAATCACTTTTTGAATACGTTTCAAATTCTTCAATTTCGAAAATATTATATATAGTTATAAGTAGAATAATTGATTCATAATGTGGATTAATTGGACCATTGAGATCCCAGGTAGGAGAGGTCAGGGTCAACGTTGCCCTGAGCCCAAGTCCTACTTAGCCAGAGCTCACTGCCAATCCAATAATCCCCACGATTAATCTTTCTTCATATTAAAATAGAAGGTAGTTTTTACTTAAATATATACTTAATATATATAATTTCAGAAAAACAAATGCGAAACTCTATCCTATATGCCCTTCTTAGGTCTACCCATCAGTTTTATATACCAATTTTTATCTTTTTAAGACCCGAAAACTGATACCACTTTGTAACACCCCCAAATTACTCTCGAATATTTAACAATAATAATCCAACTTTAGGGAGTAACATGGGAGTATTACCGTCACGCGATTACGTAAGGCTTAACAGAGTTTTGCAGCGGAAAACAGTACTTATCTTTCATTAATAATAATAGTAATAATAATAGTTTGATACACTTTCAAAGTAGCTACACCACTAAAACTATGTTTACTAAATTAAACTAGGTGATCACCGCCCATCATTCCCAATGCAGCATATAGTTCACGTTGTTCGATCGCCATCACCTATCTACTTATAAAAATGATAAGTAGGGCCAAGCCAAAACAAAACAAATACGTATTAGCCAAAATGCTAAGTACATACAAATGCTAGACATGTAAATCGAATTAATTAATTAAACATGCTTTCAAAGAGATTTAACTTTAATAAATCATAATTTATCCAAACCATTCATGAATAGAAATTCATCTATAAAAGCTTGTCAAAAGAACCAATTTCTTAAATAACCAACTTTCCAAAGATAATTCCGGATAGGGTGGATCAATCCATATTTTCATAAATCATTTTCCCACGTAAGTGTGCACACCCCCCAAGCTAGTAACTCCTTTACATAGTGCTATCAAGGGGAAAGACTAGGTCATACAAAGTCCATAGTCTTCAACTTACTCCGCATAGTGGGAGTTAAAAATGCAAGGAGTAAATCCTGTTAAATAAACTTTCCAATATCCCATACTCGGGATAATTTAAACAATAAAACTTCCTTTTTAAAACATGTTGAGTATTAGTAGAAGTTTATAATCAACCATATGGAATATTTAAACATTTGAAATCAAACACTTAAAACATTTTTCATCGAAATATATTTCACAATCATTTAAACATGGTTCGAAATCACTTAGCATGTAAATCACGTTGTATATAAAAGTCACTTTTTAAAAGAATTAGCCATGTGTACGTACCTTGATCCTTGCACACAAGTACGGAACTCCTAATTTCGAACCCGAAATTCCTCCTATAACAAACCAATAGTTCTAATCAAATATTTTTCAACTCATAGACACGAGGACTAAAATACCAACTTCAATAGTTGTACATGAACAATTGATTAATTTAACCCGTTTATAATTTAATAGTTACTTTTATAAATCAATCTTTAATAATCTATCAAGGTAATAATGATAATAATTAATTGTAGTGGTTAGTAGTAGTAGTAGATAATTAGATATCACAAGTAGTAGTAGTAGTAGTAGTAGTAGTAGTAGTAGTAGTAGTAGTAGTAGTAGTAGTAGTAGTAGTAGTAGTAGTAGTGATAGTAGATTACTAGATATCACAAGTAGTAGTAACCAATAGTATTGTAATACTAATAGTTCAAAATCCAAATGAAAGTCTTACTCTTTGTTAATTTATCAAGGAACAAACAAAG